AAAGATTGTCCACATCTTTTTAGACAAGTGCTTCCCCACAACTTGGCATGTTTTGAGTTTTCCCAGGTCACAATCTCGCAATATGGAGATGACATACTGTTATGTGCTCTCTTGGAAGAGCTCTATAGCCAAGACACTTGTGCTCTGCTAAATTTTCTAGCAGACACAGGTTATAAGGTCTCTAAATCTAAGGCAGCACTTTGCTGTCTTGAGATAAAATATTTAGGCCTCATATCCAAAGGGGCCCAAAGACTAGGAAAAAAAGAGAATTAAACCTAATCTTTCCTTCCCATAGCCCCAAACTCTAAAACAGCTAAGGAGATTCCTGGGAGTTACAGGCTTTTGCCACCTTTGGATACCTAGATACGGGGAGATTATACAACCCCTCTATCAACTTATAAAAGAGACACACAGGCATATCCCCATAGTTTATGAGGAAAACCTGATTCCCAAGCAGCATTCTAAAAGCTTAAACAAACACTTCCAAATGCCCTGAGCCTACCCACAGGACACCATTTCAGTTTGTACGTAGAGGAGAGGAGTCACAGCTTTTGGGAAGACTTCCACAGCATCAAGGACCTGCTCAGCAACCCACAGGGTATCTGAACGACTTAGATGGCTAACTAAGGGATGGCCTGCTGGCCTTGGAGCTGTGGCTCTCCTAGTGCCAGAGGCAACCAAGCTGACTTTAGGCAGAGATACACCTCACAATGCGGCAGGGCTCCTTTCTTCCAAAGGGAGCGGATGGCTGTCTGATAACCAACTGCTTAAGCACCAGGCTCTACTTCAAGGACCAGCCATTCAAATAGACATTCAAATCCCGCCACCTTCTTGCAAGAACAGGAGGAAGAAACTGAGATTGATAAACATGACTGTAAACAGGTAGTTCTTCATACATATTCAGCCAAAAAAAGCTTCTTAGACACCTGCTTACTGACCCAGATTCAACCCTCTCCTGTGATGGCAGCTCCTTAAGACCGGAGATGCAGTGGTAACTTTACACCATAGTCTTAGAAGCTCTCACTTACACGTGGAACCAGGGCTCAGCTAGGAGAGCTCACAGCTCTGACCAGAGCCTTGCAACTCAGCAAGGGACAGAAGGTCAGTATTTACACTGATTCGAAGCATGCTTCCTAGTGTTACATGCTCATGCAGCCATTTGGGAAGAAAGAAATTACCTAACAGCCCACAGATCTCCTATAAAATATAAGGAGATAGATGATCTTTTATCATAGGCTGTTCTTCCAAATCAGATGGCATTAGATGTTCTAACAGCAGCACAGGAGGTCACTTGTGCAATTGTAAAAACAACGTGTGTATACATTCCTGATTCTTCTGCTAATCTCAGTAGTAATTCAAGGTGTTAGATAACAAGTCAATGACATGTCAGATTCTAAAATTCCCTGGACTTTATTCTTATAGGAATTACTTCTAGTTCCTCTTGGTGGAAATCTTTGTTAACCATACTCATGATTGTCTTGTTGATTTTATTCTTTGGCCCACACATGCTTACTGTTTCTTGGCTTTGTCTGTTCCAGACTTAAAGCTGTGTGCATACTCAAGATGGAAATGCCTGGTGTCTATCGAGGGCCTCTAGACAGGATCTCTGTGGAAGCACCTCTGACTGCCACTCGACCAGGCGTCCTGTTCAGCTCGAAAAAGCCTGATCAGTCATCACCCAGTACCCCTCACGTCTGGGTTGCTTCTTCAGAGCGGGGACTATTGCAGGCAGCCAAGTTAGTTAGAAATATTATAGGCAGTGAGACAGGGCTGGGTCCTCAAAGTAGCCAGTGCAGATACCTTACAACTGTGGGGGAGACAGACAGTTCCTGCTGTGGGCCAGGCCTCAAGACAAAGGATCAAACAAATGCATCCACATCCCAAAGACTAATATTCTAGTAAGTTCCTATCACCCTGGAGTCACCATCCCATCCCCCTAGGGGAAAGGTCACAGCTCTAAGAATGCCTGCTTCCTATGTCACTTGCCTTCTCATTTGTCCCTAATGTAATCAAGGGCTATCAATCTTATTGGCTGACTATAATTCTGTCCCACCTTATGCCCATCTGCCTTGTGAGCTCCCAGTTTCCCCCTCCCCTGCCTTGAAACTATGGTTTTACTCTATAAAAGTCCCTGGAAAACACAGAGTTCTGGGCAACCTGCTCAGGACCCTTTCTGTCTCTCTTCAGACAGAAGCTTTCTTTCTCTCAATAAATATATTCTACTCTTCACTTCTGTTGTTCCTAAAAGTCATTCTTTGGTTTTAGAGAACATGAACTCGCAGACATAGTGGGTCGGGAGTTTCATTCCCCTGTATCACTGGGGCCTGCAGGGGATGCGGCAGAAGGGAAGGTGCTGAGGTCACCAGGCCAGGAAGGAAGAGGGAGGCTGGCTGCCACCTGAAGCACAGCTTCGTGCCAGCACCTCTGTGCAGCACCCTCCACAAAGAGCACTCTCTGTGCGACACTCAGAGATGGGGCCTAGGCAGGGAAGAGCTCCGGGTCACCAGCTAAAGGAGGGCGGCGTGGGACCAAGTGCAGGGCTGGGAGCCTCCGCCTCCCACAGGCTGTCCCAGGGCGGTGCCACATACAGCAGCAGGGCCCAGGCCCGAGCCCAAGGACAGGAGGGCTGGGAGCCCAGGCTGGGTGGTGGTCGGCCCCCACCCCAGCCATCCCGTCCCAGGCTGGCAGGTATGCACTGAGTGTCCCCTGCAACTCAAGCGCCCCGTATGCACGCCCAGTGCCCCCCGGGCCACCATGTTCACAGAGCGGAGCCTCAGCTCTGTGACAGGACAAGGACAGGGTCAGAAACAAGACCCGGTCCAGGAAGGACCAGGACACTAGACGCGCTGGGCAGACAGGCTGGGCCTTGAAGGAGGAGGAGCAGAGAGTCCCTGGGGGGTGGGGAAGGCTGGGACCCAGAGCAGCTGGCAAGGCCTGAGCTTGAGGGACCAAGAGGATGTTGGGGTCTGTCCTGCTCTGTGCTGGGCCCGTGGAGGCTGAGCAAGGCCCTCCATGCTGGAATAGCAAATGCCATGGATACCTCATACACTGGCCTGACCTCCCACATCCCTGCTTGGCCTGGCCAATGACCATGAAGGCCCTCGAGGCCCACGGCAAGGTGTCAGGGGACCCAGCCAGCAGCCCCAACATGTGATAGCCACCTGCTGTCAGCCTTCCCACTGCATCCTCCGAAGCCACTGGCACCTCCTGCTGCTCCTCAGGTCCTCGGGAGACAGTGCTGGTCCTCAGCCAATGCCCAGCTCTTGGCAAGGCCAGGGCACACACCAATGCTCCCTGCAGAGGCATACCAGTGTCACACAGTTCCTGCCAGGAAACCCGACTTCCTGTCTCCAGGTCTGGAAACCCTCAGGAAGATAGTCCTACATCTCGGTGTGGGGGGTCCCCGACCTCCAGGTCTCCCTACTTTGGGTGCCACTCCACTGGTGACTTGGCCCATCCCTGCTTGCTTACAAGTGGAGTCTGCACCCAGGCCCTTCTCGACTTCCTTGCAGGCAAGGGGTTGGATGACGCCCAGAACTCTGGGAGGTAGGGTGGCAGGGGCCTGGCTGCGCAGCTGGCTCTTGCCTGCCCTCCCCAGCCTGGAAGGTGCTGACAGCACCCATTTCACAGCTGGAAAAGCCGGGGAACTTTGCATCACCTGGGGAAGTGGCAGCACCAAGACCCAGCCCTCCTGCCCCAAAACCTTCAACTTCCTCACCTTGGCGGGTCTAGGCCAGCCAGGATCAGGGCCAGGCTGCAGGAGATCAGGAGGGGCAGGGCTGGGATTTGTCTACCCAGAAGAACCGACGGGGGCTGAGACTGGCAGGTGAGCTTGCCCTTACCCTCACCAGTGGCTCCCAGGGGTGCAGTGGGGCTGGCCAGGGTGGGAGTGGCCAGCGCGTCCCCTGCTCCTTCCTCAGATCCCTCCCCTGTGGCCAGATGTGCCCTTCTCACCCTGGAACCCATTGCGGCAACCTTGGTTTCTCTCTGGGCGCAGGACTGCTTGTCAGCGCCAGGAGTCACACTCCCCACCTGGCCCCCAGCCAGGCCTGGCGCCTGGAACTACCCAGCCTCTCCACTTCCTCTTTCCTGCCCGCCTCAGCTGCCCTGCCCAGCAGGAGCTGAGTATTTCCCTGCCCCGCTCCTGGCCTCCAGCCCTGGCACAACCACTGGCAAGAAGGCACTGCCCTGACACCTGCTACCAGAGCAGACAAAGTACCCCAGGCACTTGGCCTTTTGCTATGGGCCCATCGGGCTCCTTCTGGACCTGTATTCCAGCCTAGGTTTGAGGAGAGGTGGCCAATCTGCCTGGACACTGCCCCTCCCCACCCCACTGTCCACAGGGACAACAGGAACAAGGCTGGGGGAGCTGGCAGAGAGGCACTCCCCAATTACTTTACAGGGCAGCCTTTGGGCCTGTGCTCTGGAGGTGAAAGATCATCCAGCATCAGGACCCCGGCCACCTGCAGTCACCTGACCCACTCCTGCCAGGGCCAGGGCCAGGGTCAGGGCCAGGCTGGGAGGCGTCGGGGCCTGCACCTGGGTGCCAGCTGGGGCTTCCCTGAAGGCTCCCCCTGCACTGCCAGTGCAAACAGGCTCCCACAGCCATACCCTCAGCCCAAGCCAGAAGGAGGGTTGCAGGTACAGACCCGAGCCAAGCTGGCTTTGCCAGCTAAGGGTCTCCCCCAACAAGCTCCCTGGTGCCACCCACTGCGGGAACCCAACAGCTCTCATTGCTGGGAAGTCCCTCCCTTGTGCAACCCAAATACCTCAAGCTGCAGAACAGGCCTTGGCTCTCCTTGCCCCTCTGGCCTGAGCAGTGGGCATGAGCCAGAGGAGCACGGACCCAGGGTCCCAGGATGGAGGCCAGTTCTTCCGGGGGCCTCCCCAACTTGGGCTGCCCCGTCTCTCACGGGCAAAGCAGGTGGCAGAGGCCTCCTTCAGGTGCACCCAGGCCTCCCACCGGCAGCCAACTTGACCTGCCCTTCAGTAGGGAGGCACCAGTTTAATTGATATTTATTTTTAGAATAAACACTATCCTGCACTCTCAGCCGTAGGTGGTGGGAACTGCAAAGCAGGAGACCCTTCCTGGCAGGCAGGATGGGGGGCAGCCGCCCTGTGCCTCCTGGAATTCCTCAGATATCTCCATCCTCCTCCACTCCCTCTTCTGAGGACTCCAGGCTGCAGAGTTGGGTGCAAGACCCCCACTGACTTCAGGGCTCCTCGCCTGGGGTACAGGCCTCAGGGAGGGCGGCAGGGCCCCCTCAGTTTGGGGAGCAGCAGAGGCAGGTGATCAGCACATTCATGGAGACAGCAGGCACCATTATCTCCTCAAAGAGCACGAGCTTGCGGGTGGGGCCCACGCTCCCAGCCCGGGCTCCGGCCCCCAGCAGGCCTTGCGAGTGCTGCAGTAGGTGCTGGTTCCGACGGCGGCCCAGTCTGCGCAGTGCCAGGATGGCCAGCACGTGTTTCTGCCTGTGGAGAGGAGGGGCGCACTGCAGAGTATCCCCGACACGCCACCCTCTGATTCTGGGAAGTGTGAGTCATGCTGTACTCCCGTAACCGCGTCAGGGAGGCCGGCACAGAGGGGCCAGCGGTGCTCCAGAGGCGGCAGCAGAGTAGCGTGGACCCTGCACTGCAGCAAAGGTGGCAGGGCCTAAAGGCACAGGCCGCAGGGAAGGAACAGGCGCACAGGTACCAGGGAGTCCCGGGTGGTAGGGTCGCATCAAGCTGGGGACCCTTGGTGCCTCTGATCCACACCAGGGCGACCACCGGCCCCGAGGACTGGGGCCATGAACTTTCCCTGGGGGTAGCAGGCCAGGGAAGGGACTGGGCCCGGGGCTTTCTGTCACCTCCCCATTCTGGAATGTCCAAGCCCTGGGAGGCTGAACTGGGATTTCCATGGGCTCTGATGACTCACAGTGCCCCTCCCACCCCAGGATCAAAGCCTCTGGCCTCCCAAACGAGGTAGGACTTGCTGTTGGACTGGGGGGGGGGGTCACACCTGCTCCCCCACTTCAGGGAGAGCATGCCCCCCCAGGAGGGGCTGATGAAGAATGGTTCAGAATATGTGGGGGCTATGGTCCATGGTCCATGCAGGGTGGAGCCACATCTGACCCCCCCACCCCTCCTCCACTCTGCCCACCCAGTCCTGGGGCACTTCTCTCTTCAGGCGCTCGGTGGGGCACAGGGCGCTGCAGACCTGATGTCGGGGAAGCTCCGGATGAGCGTCTCCAGGTGACACTTGATGTCATCTTTGTACCTCTCACCCAGGATCTCAGCCACGCACGGGACAGCCTGGTTCAGCCACTTGGCTTCAGAGCCCTAGGGAGACACGGAGACTCGGAGGGTGCGGAGCACACCCCCCCCCCTGCTCCAGGGCCAGCACTGGTGGCCTCTGTCCTTGTGTTGTGCAGATCGGGTGGCAGATCAGGTTGCCCAGACCTGAGCTGGAAGTGTGCCAGGACTCGCACTTCCAGTGGAGGCCGGTGGCCCAGACCAGGGCTGGGTGTGGAGGGGCCCCCCAGGGCTGGCCAGCAGATGGGTCCGCATCCCTCTGTCCCTCCTGTGAGCCCCACAACTATGCCAATGCCTGCAAGTGCACCTCTACCTGGCTCGCCCCTACTGAGCCTCTCCGGGTGGATAGCAAGGGCAGAATTAGGGCACAGTCACTGACCCCCAGGCCACTACTCCCTTCTCTCCAGGCAGAGTAGAATTGAGAAAGGGGGCACTAGTCCAGGGCACAAGTGAGGGCTCAGGGGCACCAGACACTGCTCCTACCAAGTCCTGGAAAGTTTCACTGATGGCCTGGGCGTCCTCGTTCATCCTCTCGGACCCACGCAAGCGCTCCTCACCCCGGAAGTGCTTCCTCGGCCTCAGCACCTGCGCCAGGTACTCTCGGACCACGAACCGGTGCACCTCCTCCAGTGTCTCCTGGACAGGTGGGGTCAAGGTCGTGGCTGGGGTCAAAGACTAAACCCTTGGCACCACTGGCTCTGAACCCTTTCCTGCCATACCTGTGCCACGGGTGGGGTCACAAGTGTGAGGTGGTGTGCAAAGGCCTTCACCTTGTCCAGGAGGGGGCACAGCTTGTCCTGGGACAGCCAGTCGTTGGTGTACACAGACCTGAAGAGTGGCTGGGATGGGGCGTGGGAGTGAGCCCAGGGCACCCTCTGCCCCCACTGGGTCCCTGGTGCTGTCCCCTCCGAATTCAGGACACCTGGAGGAGCGCTGTGAGGGGCCCGGGGCCACCATCCCTGGCTTGGGTCCTGGCAGTGGAACTGCAGTGGGGAGGCAGGTGCTTCTGAAACACCCCTGCTCTGCTGGGACGTCTGGCTCCCCACCCACCCCGAAACACATGGCCCTGAAATGGGCCCTGGGCTTCAGGGACAGAAGGCGCCTGCTGGGCACGGCAAGCAGGAAAGGAAGCTTTGTCCTGCACTCACTTGCATATCTCGCTGCAAGCCCTGGAGCAAGTGCTTCTGGAAGCTGCTGACAGCCACTACCAGGGGCTTCTCCACCTCCTCCAGGGACCCCGGGAACCTGGCCAGAAGACTGGTCCTGGTGAAGGGCCCAGGTGAGACATTAGGTGCACACCGAGGAGCAAGTCCCTGAGCAAAGCCTAGCACAAAGCCCTGCAGGCTGGGCGTTTAGCAGCTCCACTCACTTACACTACCATGTGAGAGGCAGCCCTGGACTGCAGTGTAGTGAGAGCAGAGCCAAGTGAGGGGTGACAATAAGCAGCCTGGGAGCAGTCACAGAGGGGAGGTCATTGGGGTGGTGGTAACCCGGCTCCCTCTGGCTGCTCTGGGACACCCCTCCATCCTTTTTGGGGACAGGACAGTGCAGCGTGGCCATCTCCACACAGAGCCTCCGTTAGCTCTCTCCCTGCCCTCTAAGGTGACAATGACCCCATTTCACGGTGAGGAAGCCGAGGCCAGACTTGGGACACAGCATGGTATGCGGAGGCCCTGTTGTGGCCCCTTCAGTCCCTGGCACAATGCAGCAGGTCACTGGAGGTGCTTGGGAGTCAGGCATTTGCTGGGTCTTGGCTGGGGGTCACTTCCGCCCTGGCCCCTGCATTCCTGCAGGGCCTAGGGGGTAGAGGGTCGGTCCCAGGTGTCACAAGGGCAGAGAGGGACTGAGACAAAGTGCTTCGTGCAGGCACACAGCTGAACACCAGGCGGCGCTGGGATCGGAGCCCAGCGTGGCACAGAGCGGGAATTCCCTCCCGGCAGCCGGCGCATCTGCAGAGGGCGACACTGAGGCTGTGCTGTGGCGGACCCCACGGCCTGCACCGCGCAGCTAGAGTGTAGGTCGGCTCCCGACCACAGAAGGAAAAAGCCTGGCTGGGAAGAAGGGAGGAAGAAGACCGAGCCCAGGGATGAGGCCACGGCCTCCCTCCGCCTGCGACAGCCGGGGACCAGCTGCACTGCGCTGAGGAAGGGAGTTGTGCCAGGAGTTGGACAGGGAGGGCACGGCTCCTGGCAGCGTCAGGACGGGCCACACTAGGGAGGGGACCAGCGCTGCGTCCACTGGGTTCAGGCTTCTCTCTCCATTAGCACAGAATGAGCCCCTGGTCCACGCGCGCGCTCCGCCTCCGCCTCCGCCTCCGCCTCCGCCTCCGCCTCCGCCTCCGCCTCCGCCCTGGTTTCCGGGGCTCGCACGCCCCCTGCTGGCAACGCGGCGCAGGACCCACCTGAGCTCCTCGCAGGAGTTGATGTAGGCACCCAAGTGGGGCTCACTTGCCACCCCCGACTCCAGCAAAGCCTTCTCAAACCTGGGCAGGGCATGCAGAGCCTCGGACTGGGCTCCCTCGGATTCCACCCAGACTCCAGGCCGCGCCCTGAGGGCCCCACATCTGCGGGTATAGCACTCAGAGCCCTGGGGGGTGCACACCTCCCATCCCCATTCTAATTCCCCAGAGATGCACGCGCACCTGGGCACAAAGAGGCAGAGCTGCTGCGCGCAGAGCCTCAGGGTGGTGGCCTCGAGCTTGGCAGAGATGGCGCTGGACGCCTTCACATGCTCCACCACCAGCTGGGGGCGACACCACAGCTCAGTGCTGGGAGGGAAACGGGGGAAGGTAGGGGGATCCCGCCCACCCCGCTCTGCCGCAGGTCTTAGCTCTAGCTTTCAGCTGCCTCAGCCCATGAGTCGCCTCCTTGCACTCAGGCCCGCCAGCCTTGCCAGGTCCAGGCATCCTGCGGGTCCCTGGCTCTTCCAGCTCCCAGGAGAGGCCGCTAGAACCGGGTGTGATCGCTCGGGGTTCCTGCCACGCACCATGTGGATGTCTGTGGACAGGGTTGCGTGGTATTGGCCCTGCAGCACCTCAGGGTCCTCGGCCTCTGCCCAGCGTCTCTGCTCCAGCTGCAGGATGCAGTCGAGGCAGCCTGAGATCTTGCTCTAGGGAAGCACGGATGGCCCAGTGAGGCCTCCCGGGAGGGACAGGACCAACCTGCCCAGGTCAGGCCGCAGGGTAGGCCTCCCCAGCGCAGCGCCCCACGCCTCCCTGCAGGACCCGGCCCCACCTCCAGGGCGTGGGCGCAGTCCCTTTCCAGCTGTGCCTGCGCCTCAGGTGCTAGAACTGGGGGCAGCTCCAGTTCTGAGACATCCAGGAAGTCCGGGCTGGAAGGAGGGGGAGGGTGCTGAGGGGCCAGGCAAGCACAGCTGCACCTCCTACCCCACGTCCATTCACACCCTGGCCCAGCCCTAGGACTCTGGGCCTACACCACCCTGAAGCTTCTGACCACCAGCTCTTCCTGCACAGCCCGCTGAAGGGGCTGTCCAGACCGCCCGGCCAGCCTGCCTGTAAGCACCCAGGCCTGGTGCAAGCCCCAAACACCACACAGTTCCCCTACTTAGGGAGCCCACGCCTGCCTGTGGGCCCAGGCCATTCATCCTGGAGGCAGTGGGCCTCTGTCACAGCGCAGAGTGTAGGCAGCAGCCCCCAACAGCCGTGCCCACCAGAGGGGAAGTGGGTGAGTCCCAGGGGGTCCTGCCCCGGGAGGTGGCCTCTTAATGCTGGCGTGGGCCTCTGCTGCTCTGGGAACCCGCCCGTGCTGGGCCCTTGGGAAAACCTGGGGTGGGAACACATCAAGGCTAACAGACGGTAAGCGGGTCAAAGTCCCTAGAGAGGCCGGGGAGAAAGCTGCACTCTGCTCCAGGAGCGAGTTCCCAAGGCCCGGGGTGGGCAGTGCAAGCCGCTCTTAGTGCTTGGGCCCGCCTCAGGCCTCACCTGCCATAGACGTTGGTGACCCAGTCCAGCAGGAGGTAGAGCTGCTCATAGCCTCGGGCCTTGGGCACAAGCTCCTGCAGGCGCTGGGCCACCTCACTGTGGAAGGCACGCAGGTAGGTCTCCCACGCAGGGAAGCCGGCGGCTGCATACGCGGGCTGTACCTCCCGGTGCACCTTCTGCAGGTCGCGTCGAACCACACCACCGAGGTCGGTCAGAAGCTGGGCCAAGCCGGGCACGCCTTCTGCGGCCCCAGGGGTGGCAATCTCGCCTGTGGTGCCTTCGCCTGTACTCTTGGCAGCCTGTCGCACGCGCTCCTGCGCGCTCTGTAGCACGGCGTCCTCCCAGTGCTTGCGCCAGTGGCGCGGGACGCGCACGTAGTCGCCTCCAGAGGGCGGTTCCGAGTGGGCCTCCTCCTCCGCGCGCACCATGAGGGCCAGCTCAGTCAGCTTGGCGGCGGGCACGCCCTCGGGGCCCAGGGTCTCGCGCACAATGGCGCGCATCTCATCAGCCAGACGGTCGTAGTGCAGGGACACGTCCATGGCGCGCCGCGCAAAGCCTGTGGGGTCCTGAACGGCGCTAGAGGTCTTCTCAGCCACCAGCCGCGTCTCCAGGTCTCGCAGGTGCTCGAACGCTGCCATCAGGTGCTGTTCAGCGATGAGGTCGGCCACGGGTTTGCCCTCTGTAGAGGCCGGGAGAACAGGGACAGTGGGAGGCGCCCACCTCCCGGACCCTGGGCCTGGCCCGGACGCCCTAAGATCAAAGAAGCCTCCAAGAGTCAGAAGCAGGGACCAACCAAAACCCTGCAGAAAGGGCACTTTGGTTTGGCCCTCCCCACCCCCTCGCACCACTCCCCTCCATCCCCACCCCCACCCCCACCCCACCGAGCTGCTCCTGTGGCCTCCTGTACAGCCCTGATTGCATATTTAATTGGGTCAGAGCTCAGGCCAGGCGGGTGGGCACGTCCTGCAGTGCCAGGCCTCCGCCTGCTTGCTTGCTGCCCAGGGTCAACACTTCCTGCTACCCTTCTCTCTCTCTCTCTGCTATTTCCACACCCCAGGCCCTCAACTTCTACAGCGGTGGAGATCTAGGTTCAAACCCCAGCCTTAGACTCACAAGTCACTTCACCTCCCTGAGCCCCACTTTCCTCATGGGGGGGGGCGGGGCTCGCTAAGATGCTGTAAGAACTGAAGTTCGATTGTGCAGGGAAAAGGGTGTGGGAGAGCTGGGAAGCGTGGGCTCAGTTGCTGCCCGCTCTGGCCTCGTCCGCACCCCCGCCACAAGCGTGGTCCCCTGAGCCCTCACCTGTCTGCAGTGATGTCTGCTGGCTGGCACCACAACGGCCCATGACTACAGAGGGCTCCTCTGACACAGCAGGGACCTGGCACTGGCCCACAGCTGGGCGCTGGTCTACCACCCGCCGCAAGGACTGGAACAGGGAGCTCCAGCGCCGGCCTGGGTCCTTCTTGATCTCTTGGGAGTGCCTCCTTGGGTTCTCCCAGGAAAAGGCCTGCCGCACCCACCGAGTGCCCCCAACTGGCGATGCTCGCTCCCCATGCTCCTGGGGGCTTTGGGACTCTGGTCCAGGGGTCACCTTCAGCATCGACAGCAGCTCAGCAACAGGAGACCTGCGGGTGAGAAGGAGGCTGGAAAAGCCTGGAGGGCACCCTGGTTCCACTGAGCAGACAGGGGCCCCGGGACCTCAGCCAGACCCAAGGGCTGGTCAGGAGAGGCTTCCTGGCTGTGGCACCCTCCTGAGCTATCAGAAAGGAAGCATCAGAGGAGGCACCATGCCCTGGCCAGAGCACCTGGGCTGGGCTGCAGGGGGGCGCTGGGAGGTGAGTTCTTCTTCCTTCAAGGAGCTTGCGCTGATAACACCCTCATAGAGAGTTTCCCCAAGTGCCAGACCTGACTTCACACAGGACTGGAGGGAAGAGCTGCACTGTGGGTTCTGGGGCCCAGCTCTACCCACAGCCTAACGACAAGGGCAAGGCTCAGTGACCACATCCGGGCTTCTCAGTGCTAAAACACCCAGCCCTCCCTCCAGAAGCCCCTTTCCTGCCCTCCGGAACCCCCAGCTCACCGCTTCCCCAAAAGGCCGACTGCTTCTGTAGGAGAGCAGGGACGCTGTGGAGCCCACCTTTGCCCTGGTGTTGCCCTGCTCTGACCACAGCCCTCAGTAGCCCAAGGGAAGGCAGTAGGAGGAGGCTCGGTCTATATTTAACTGGGGCTGAGGGGCTTCCTGTGTTGCTCCTTCTTGAACCCCCTGCTCTCCTGGCTTCCGTGGTGGAGACTGCAGCCAGGGACCAAGGTGTGGGAGCCACTGGAGCCTGGCTGCTTGCTTTCCTGGTTTTGCTAAGGTGGGGCAGGAAGGAGGAGGGGACTTCCAGCCCCTCGACCTCCTGCGCACTGCACTTTGCAAACTGGGTTGAGTGGGGAAAGGCACTGACTAGCAAGGGCTCACTTTACACTTGGAGAAACTGAGGCCAAAAGAAGGGTCAGACCCGCTGCAGTCACAGATGAAGCAGCGGCAGGACCCCCAGCTCCTCTGTGGCTCTGTGGCTCCCCACCACAGGACCCCTGTACAAAGCCCAGGTGCCAGACCCCAGGGTCGTGGAGCAAGTTGTCCCCACCAGCCTCGGTTCCCTGAGACAGACAGGGGCCAGTCACCTACACCCCTCCTAGGTTGTCTTTGGATCTGGCTGGCCAGTCTTCCTCAGGCTCTGGAGACCCCTGCGTGGCTGGGAGGAGACCCCACCAGGGAGCCTTACCCAGTGATTGATAGGGCTTTATCAGCCCCGCCCCCATCACGGGTCATTGTCCTGCCCTGGCCAGGGCTCAGGGACGCTGCCTGGCTCAGGCCTGACACACATGTAAGGGGGCTGCCTGGATGGCCTCCCCGGGATACAGTCAGGGTCACAAGGGCCACCCATTTCAGACCCCCTGGGCTAACTGAGGCTCTTCCTAACCCCTCAACCCCCATCCCTTGAGGACACTGGGAGTCCATAAAATAGCTTAGCTGAGAAGGTAAAGAGCAGGAACTTGATCTTAAAATGAAGAAACAGACCATTCAAATAATGCTAAATTTCACATTTTAAAAGAGAAAAACAGCGCCTAGCTGTGAAACGGGCCACTGTCCTTCCAGGTGATGTGACGCCTTTGCCAAATCCTCTCCAAACACAAACATTCTCAGTGCCAGGAAACGTGCACCTCTCTCTCCTGAGTGCTCACACTCTTTGTGCACTTTTAAGTTTTTTCTTAGAGCCAGATGTGGTAGTGCACACCTGTAATCCCAGGGCTTGGTAGGCTGATGCAGCCTGGGCTACGGAAAAGCTCAAGGCCAGCCTGACCTACACAGTTTTGGGGAGCAGCTAAAACTGGAGATTGATCACGTGTGGGGCTGGAGCAAGGCTGGTCTCAAGAACACAGAACACCTGAGACAAGCGCCGTGGTAGCTGCTAGGTGAAGAGGTTTACAGGTGACGCTCGACCTCCTGCGTGTGTGAGTAAACATGTTGCAGCCATGGGAGCTTTGGCTCCCCTCTTTCCCTCCCTCCCTTCCTCCTTCCTTCCCATCAGGCCTCGATTTTCTGTTTTCCCACTCTTGTCCTTTTCTTCTGTCCCACCATCCTCGCCCTGGGAACGTGGAGAGCATTTGGTGCCTGAGCAGGGACCCAGGGAACGAGGGAACTCACTGGAGAGCAGGTAAGAGGAGACCCCTAGCTGGGCGCACACCAAGAGGGGGACAGCTCCCGAGGAGCCGAAGAGAGGCGCAGTGATTTTATCTCGGACATTAAGAACAGACCAGACTTGTTCAGGTACAGATTCCCGTACCGGACCTGGATCGGGAGGGTCTCGGTGTTCGTGCTCCTGTTGAGAGGGCCACGGAGGATTCTGCTCGGAGCACAATTTTAAAGCTAAGTCCAGACAGGAAAGAGACAATAAGGCGGCAGCCCCGGGATAGAGCCCAAAGCCTCGAGCTTTGCTGAATCGGATGGGGAAGGAACGGCGGGGCAAAACCACCTTTCCTCACTACACGTGTTTCACTGGCATCAATTTCACAGCTGCTTGAGGTAAAACTGATAACAGTGGGGCTGGGGATTTAGCTCAGCGGCATAAGCGCCTGCCTTGCAAGCAGTCAGTCATGAGTTCGATCCCCGGTACCGATATAAAGGAAAAAGACAAAAAAAAAAAAAAAAAAACAAACTGATAACAGTAACTGCACCGCCAGGCCCAGCTTCTCCTCCTCAGCTCAGAGAACCCGAGTTGCAGCACAGGTTGAAACTGGCACCTGTCAAGGAGCAATGTCATCCTCTCGTTCTCCCTGGCACCTGGTGTTAAAAGAAGCCAGACAGGCGGGAGTCCACGGAAGGATCTGAACATGTCTGCCCTGTTGCTGAAACCCAAATCCCTGATGATCAGGGACAAGCCACACGTCTTCGTGAAGCCATGCCTTTTAAGACCCTAAAAGAGTTCAAACAAGCGACTGCTCCCTATGGACCGCAGCCCCCTTTACCTTACGTTCAATAGAACTTACAGCACAGCGGGTTAGGACCCCAAAGGGTTGGAAGAGAATAAAGTGTGTTTAAGCAGGGGCGTTATATACTGTGGAAGGAAAATGTTTTGAATTGTGCATGAATCAGGCCATTTGCAGTGCTGCTCACAACACAGCCAGTACAGAAGACATGTTAGCCAGAGAAGGTGCTTTTGCTGTCACAAATAATCAAGTTACTTTTTGGTACTGGGAATTGAACTCACGACCTTGTGCTTGCCAGGCAGGCACTTATGCTGCCGAGCTATATCCACGGTCCTTAAATGACTTTTAAGCTACAAAGATATGAACAAATTAAAATACCTGCCATAAGGGCGGTAGGTAACTTCCTTCAAAGGAAGGATCTGACCTCCATTCTGGAGTCCCGATGAAACTTCTCAGGATTTTGTGGCACACCTACAGCAGGCTGGTGAGAGGATTACCAACAGCTCTGAGGCTGACAAAGTAATTGTTCAACTCTTGGCCTTTGAAAGTGCAAGCGTGTAAAGGGGGCTTTAGGAGTCGGGGAAAGTCAGTCGGGCAGCGCTGTCTGCGATGACCCAGGTCTGTGCAGACGTGGGCCCCTCACAGGGGCCCTAGCAGAGCTGGCACTCGGGCTGTTCGTCCATGGCCCAGAGGAAAGGGAGGGGACAAGGTTGCTTCTGTCAGCTGTGGGACTGGGGGACATTTTTCCCAAAATTGCTCTGCTGCAACCAGGCAGGACAACACAGCCACTATCCATCCCTTCAGGAACCCTTCTAGGAGCTGTACAATGCATAGACGAGGTAAATCGGGCAAGAGATGCAGTTCAAAATGGATGTGGACGGCTGGCCCATTCCAGGAAACTCCCAGTAGGGCTGCTGTGCCCCCACCAAACAGTGGGGCGCTTTCCCTAACGCCTCACCAGCCCCACCCTCCACCGCCAGCACATTTCTGAGCCCTGGCAAGTGATAAAAGACAGCAGAGGCTTAGACCTCATCCCCGCTCCAGATTCATACCAACTCTGCATTGGGACCCCAGGCTGCTCCTCCTGGAGTCTGTGGACCTTTCCCTCAGGGAACAGTGGGGCTCCGGCTAGGCCACAGTGGTTTTACTTTAAAGGCCTCCAGTTTTGCCTGGTGTCCCTGATGCTGATTATACAGAATACAGGTTAGGGATCGAGCTGTCCAACACTGCAGTCACCCCAGTATCTCATATTGCTCAACTGGTCATTCTTCTTTTGACAAAAATGTAAAATCTATAAATAAGGACAGGGGATCCAAGGGCTTTGGGTCTTTGGATGCTTATTGGGTTCAACAGATTAAACAGGATCATCCCAAGGTGGAACTGATTATTGAAGGAAAATCGTTTAAAGGCTTGAGACAGGCACAGAGGGTCCAGTCACTGCCTAAGGCCAGTGGCCCACAGCATGGCCCCTGGAGGTGGCAACTACAAATCTACAGGGGGCGGGCAGTGTTTCTCAGCCTAGCAGAAGTGCTAGATTGTTAACCCCAGGGATGCAGAAGGTCATTCTGGACATTTTTTGCCTTATGTCCTCCTGTACGTATACAGGTACTTATAAGTATACTGGTCACTCTATGGGGTCGTGACGTATCACAGGGTATAGTTGTACTCTTTGGTGACCCATCAGATGCTACAGCTAGGTTTCCTTCCCACCCAAGAGCTTGGTGAAACCAAGCAGGGAAGCAGAGGACCTCTTCCAGTTCTCACTTAGCAGTATATGCTATTAACTTTTTAAATCTTGCTGGGGATGGGGCTACAGCAGCTGAAAGACAATTCGATCAGGTAAAGGAAATAAGTAAGAAGTGTCCTTCAGAAAGACCTTTCCTGAGGGACAATGGAAGGGACCTAGCCAGTGCTAATTTTTGGGTGGAGGCTTTGCTTGTGTCTTTCCAGAAAACGCTGTGTGGCCTGGGTGCAGAGTGTGCTGTCCAACTGCGTCGTGGGCCCAGACCCAGAGAAAGAGTGGGTCCCTCCTGCTGTCGAGAAGCTGATGCTCCGTCCCATGGCGGTGATGCCTTGGGGACTGTGCCACAGCTGATAGACAAAGATGGAACCAGACCTGACCCGGGACCAGTTAAAGAAACTGACCCAAGATGCCCAGGAGATGTAGTCAGAAATGGGAAAAGAGGATCTGAGTGGGTGACAGAGTGCAGAGAGACAGCTGAGCTGGAGGATGCATAAAAAAGGGACATGAAAATTGCCAGTATTAAGACAAATTAAGATATAAAATTGTATATTATTTACAGATAAAAGGTTTTGTTACTTCCAAATTTTCTAATAAGAGATTTCTGCTAATTGACCTACAAAAAATTTTGACTAGTCTATTTGTAATTAAAAACTTCTAAAATTATAAAAGGATTACTATAATTTAATTTGGCCAAAAATATATTTGAGTGCACTCAGGTATTGTAAGCAGATTGTTTTTTTTTGTATCAGGGATCGAACTGACAGCCTTGTGCTTGCCAAGTGGGGCTTGTGCTAAGCTGTATCTCCAGCCCAGCAGGTTGCCTGTAAATGTTGTTTGCTCATTGGTCCCATCTGTGAGGACCTTTATTTATTTTTTAATTTGAACTCAACAATTTTTTTGTTTTCTTTTGTATTTTTGGATTATTTGTTCATAATTTAATGTGGTTTATAGATTTCAAAGGTGTGTTTTCACCTGAGTTACCAGCTGGTCAATGTATCAGAATTGGTTTTCTCATAGGTCATCAGAAATTTGTTAAGGTAACTACATGGAGACTGAGAAGATCATTAGTCATGACTCCTGTCAGTGAATAAAGGAGCAGCTGCCTAGGAGAAATTTTCCCAGCCTTTGTTCATTAATAGGAAGCCCCAGTGATCCCCAGAGCTTAGTGGGAGACACCCCAATAAATGTTACTAAAGTATATTATCGTGATATTTTAACATTGGTCATTGTCAAAACATTAATTTTTAGTCATTTGGTATTTTTTTTTTTACCGGTACCAGGGATCGAACTCATGACTGCCTGCTTATGCCACTGAGGTGCAGGTGCTTATGCCACTGAGCTAAATCCCCAGCCCAAAAGATTAATTTTTTAAAAAATAAGACAATTTATAGATATTTTCAAATTTATAGATATTGTGGTACAAGAGTAAATATAAAACACATATAGTGTTCATATGGCTGTGACTTGATTTTTGTTAATTTCATGTGTATTAAATTTATTCATGTCTCCAGATGTACAGGTCTTCCAAAATGTAAAACAGGGATTGCTTAGGATAATAGACCTTTTCTTTCAGATCCACACATTTGCCTTTCTTTTGTGCTCTAATTAATTGTGATAGGAGGTTCATGTCAACCAGAATGAGGTCACCAGTCAGTAATAACAATGAAAATCAATATGGTGTATATAGATGGGCTAGGAGGACAGCCAGGATTTTGGCCCCAGCCCTCAGAGGACCCAGGACATGAGGGAACCTTTTCAGTGACATCCTGCAACTCTGGTGAGTTTTACAAACTCCTGACCAAGGAGCCTGCAGGATCCGAGAGGATAAATGTCTGCAGGGCGCAGTGTGCCTAAGGAGACTCACTGAGAGAGGAGGGTCCCCAAGGTTTCACAGAAAGCAACCTGGGCAAGCAATGACCGGACTCATCCAGACAGCTGGCACTGACTGAAGCACTAGAGATGGTGTACAGGGCTCCAAGGTAAATTCTGAGAAGATTCAACTGACCTTGATAATTCAAGCATTTATAACACAGGTCTCACCTTAATTTTGTCTTAATCATCCAGCAGGAAAGTGTGACCACAAAGGTTTAAAACAGTTGTCAACTACACTAGTAACTGTTCACTGTTCTGGGATAACGCAAGATTAAATTGCTATATATAGGGATTTAAAATCTTGAACTGGGAATCTTTAGCCTAAATCAAACAAGTTCATCTAGAATGGAAAGGATTTGAGAAGAAGGTCTTCTACAGAGTCCCCTAAACACAGCTCCTCCAACCTCGACTAGCTACCCATCACTTACAACTATAAAACCGAAACGGGGGAGATGGGAGCAGCTGAAGCTGGAGATCACTCATGCGCAGGGCTGGAGCAAGTCTGGTCTCAAGAACACAGAACACCTGAGGCAAGTCATGGGCGTGCTGCTCTACTGCCCGAGGCCAGCCATGTGGATGAGCTCTTAGGCGAAGGGTTCACGTGATATCCGACCTCCTGAGCATACAGGAATGCACTGTAGCCATAGGGTCCCTCCCTCCCCCTCCCTCTTCCCCCTCCCCCTCCCTCCCTTCTTTACTTCCAATCAAGGCAGAGGCTCCGTATGGCCACGGCTGTCTGTATTCTGGCTTTCCTTCTTTTTTCTCCACCCCCCACCATCCTCCCCCTGGGAACATGGAGAGCTGCGTGGAACCCAGCACATAGTGAGTCCCTGTCTCAGAAACCCAAATAGCTCTGCCTATAGAAATCAGTGAACTCTGGCTTATTGTGGGTGCAGCATCCACTCTGAGAAGCTCCTAGGGCCCTGTCCAGTGACAGGCCTGCTCGGTGGCAGGAAGGTCACATTTAGTACCTCCTGTGTACTCTGAACCAAGTTTTCCAGACATCAGCAGTGGGGGTCAGGTGTCCTGCCTCATGGATAGGGAAGCTGAGGCAGGAGGGGCAGGGTTTGCCTCAGTCCTGCTCAGTGTCGGGGGTGGGGTCCCGTGCCTCAGCACTGGGGCCCAGGGTGCTATGCCCCTGCACCTGCTCCAAACACCTACTGCCCCTGCTGTTCACAAGTCCCAAGACCGGCATTCACAGCCCCTCCAGATTGACTTTCCACCAGCTTTCACTGTGGGGGCTCCAACGATCTGCACCCCAACCCTCACGGGCCATCCGACCTGCACAGCACCTCCAGCTCCCCCTGCTGGCTTCAGCCCCATGACCTCCATCTCTGCTCCCATATGTGACTGGGCTGTAGGATTCACTGCTGAACACCTCCCTGGGGTCCTCAGGGATGTGCCTGTGGCTGTCCCTGTGGAGATCTGGCCTCTGCTGTGGTCTGTGCCTCCCCCCACTCCCGAGCACAGTCAGGAGCAGTGCACTGTCCCGCATGAGCAATGCCCTCAGCCCCTGGCTGGCTGCTTGCCGAACTCGTGCCCCCAGCCTCCTCTGTGGGTCCCCAGCCAGGCTGCCCCTCCGCTGGCACCGGTAGGGCATCTCTGTCTCTTTCTGTCCTCTGCTTCGTGGACCTGGGAGCAGCGAGGCAGCAGCCCCACAATGGGTCTCAGTGCCACACATGCCCACAGTACTGTAGACCCCAGCAGCCTGCGTCCTGGGCCCTGGCCCCACTCTGTCCAGGCTGGACCACCGCAGTGCTGCAGGCCAGCCACAGAAGAGGGACGGTCACACTGAAACACTGTCCTTGGAAACTCCCACCCTGGCTGCCCTGGCTGTGGTCGAGAAGTCAAGTCGGGGTGTCACCCTACCCCCTGCAGCCTGCATCTGTACCCGCTGCTCATAGAGCCCCCTGCTGCAGCATTTACCCTCCTCCTGGTCTTCCGGGCACGCCCCTACCCGGCCTGACACGGGGCCATTAGCCCATCAGCCCTCCCCCAAAATCAGGAGTAGCAATCCCAGCCCTCTAGGAGGCTGAAGCAGGAGGATCAAAAGTTTAAACTGGGGCTGGGGATTTAGCTCAGCGGCATAAGCAACTGCCTTGCAAGTGTGTGGTCGTGAGTTCCATCCCTGGTACCGATAAAAATGAAAAAGACAAAAAAAAAAAAAAAGTTTAAACTGAGCTGGGGCAACTTCCTGACTGCGTGAAACCCTGTGTCCAAATGAAAAGTACAAAAACAGCCAGGGCCACAGCTGAGTGTGAAGGCCTGGGCTGGATCTCCCCCAGTCAGCCTGCATGTCCCCCAGGGACCCCTGGGCAGGCTGCACCACGCTGAGCTCCCTGCTGCTGCCCACCACCACCCGCTCCCAGCTCACCTGCCCCTCTCCAGTGACGCCATCTCCAGTGAGCAGGCAGGGAGGCCCTGCTGGATCCTGCAACTGCCCTACACACTTTCCCTGCGAGCTAGACCCTGGCTCCTAAAGTAAGGACAAGGACAAGGACAAGGACAAGGACTCACTGCCACTCTTTAGCGTTCTCCTGGAAGAGCTAAGGCAACCAGGTAGAGATTAACAGGCGGTCTCTTGGCACCCCCAGAAGTGCAGCCCCGTTTCCTTGACGTTCCAGGCCCCTTGCTCCCCCTCACCTGCTCCTGGCCTGGGCCACACTCACCTTTGCACAAGCCGCTGCCCCGGCCCTCGGAGGCCTCACTCTCAGCTGCCACCTCCCTGCAGGCTCAGGAGCAGCTCCTCCCAGTCCAGTCCACACCTGCTGTGGCCCCAGTCCCAGCCCAGGGCACTTTCTTCGTCACAGGACCCAGCCGGGAGCCAGGCCAGTAGGTGACAGGTGCTGGAGGAGGACACCCCGACCCCCGACGGGGCTGAGGCTGCACGCGTGTGCCTTCCGCGTCCACGGTGCCTGTGTCCCCAGTGCCTGAACGGCCGTGCGGGACCGTTCTAGGAAGCCACCTGCAGAGATGGAATAGTCTCAGTCCTTGGAGGCCTCCCCTGCTGTCCTCACACCTGTGCTCCAGTCCCACCTGCCCGACGCATCTGCTGGGTGGGCAGACCCAGCCCTGGCACAGCGCGCCAGCTGAGCGGGGCGAGCCAGGCACACAGACCTCCGAGGAGCCCAGGCGCTGCTCCCTCTGCCGCCACCGCCGCAGTCAGTGGCCCAGCTGGGACTTCCCAGCGAGCAGTCCGCCCCGCCCCACCCCGCCCCGAGGCCTTTCGCTTTCGGAAAAGTCCTGGCACAGACTCAACCAAACTTCGACCCCTGGAGCTCTGCCCACAGTGTCAAGGGGGACCGTGGCGAGCAGTTTGGAGGACAGCCCTGAGGTTGTTGGCAGAGGGTGACAAACGTCCAGCCTCGCCTCTTACAGGAGGCAGAGCCCCGCAGGTCTCCTCTCTCCAGGGAAGGGGCACCAAGGAGCTTATCCATCCGCTGAGTGGGCCCTGGGTGAGGCGGTTCCCAGGGATGCCCAGGGGACGGCTGGAGCCACCCACTGCACCCGAGGACTTTGGGAGCCGGAAAAGGGGAGACAGCGACACTCGGGAGAGAGGAGCGACCTTGCTGCCTGAAGGGCAGGGAACACAGCAATGCGGACCATAGGCGTCCTGCGGGGCCTTCCTGGGGACAGTCCCCGCGCGCGTGCTGGCTGAGAACCCCGGAGAGCCAGCAGGGCAGCTCCAGGCCTGTCCGCCAGAGAGGAGCTGGGCGTCCCCAGCGCGGTCGCAGCTGGACGCTGTGGTCATGGTGCGCAGAGCTGGACTCCTGAGCATCTCTCCCCTGGCTGTGGGTGGCCACCTTCGGGTCCTATGCATGAGCTTGTGTCCTGCACCCTCTCTCTAGGGGGTGATGGCCTCACTTTAACTTAGGGCCCTTTTTTTTTTTTTTTGAGATAGGGTTTTGCTATCTAGTATAGGCTGGCTTCCAATTTGCATAAGTCCTCCTGCCTCGGCCTCCTAAGTGCTAGGATTACAGACCCGTGCTGTAATTTAGGGATCTCCTTAAAGACCCTATTTCTTAAGGAGGTCTGGGATTCAGAGTTCAGCCTAAGGATGGGGGACAGCAGCATTTACTGCAAGATACTGGGCACTGTGGCGCCCACTGTCACCCACACACAGGCCCTCAGACAAGACCCCCACACATCCTCCAGGAAGCCCTCAGCAGACCACCCAAGACGCCAGCCCCTCCTCCGGCTTCCACGGTGTGTGCGTGTGCGTGTATGTGTGTCTCTCCGTTCAGGTTGAGAGCTGATCCCGGCTGAAGGTCTTTCCCTCAGCGTGTCCTGCCGCCCCGCTGTCACAGCTGCAGAAGCAGAGCTAGGGTCCCGAGGGAACTTTCCGGGTTGCCGCCTCGAGGCCCAGGCTGGCAGAGACCAGGACTGCAGCAGGTCACACTGGGGCCTGGCACCTCCATCCCAGCCACGGGCGCGTCGGCAGCCTGTGGGGCCCAGGGCCTGGGGGCTACTCCCAAGCGCTGCCCCAACTCTCAGAAGCTACCCAGGCCTGCTCAAGCCAAGTCTTTTTTATTCTATTTCCATGTGGTTTCCCCCCAACTTTCTCAGTAAAAATCCCTGTGGAAAAGTCCCAGCCTTGTCTCAGGAGCCAGGGGCAGGCTGACCTGCGGGACAGGAGAAGGCAAAGCGGGGGCGCTGAGAGGGAGAGGTAGCTGGGTCTCCTGGCCTCAGTTTACCCCCCTCTGTAAAATGGGGGGTGTCGCTAGGGTTGTGTTCGCTGAGCACCTGTTTGCAGGTAGAAAAGGGCGGGGAGAAGCCCCCCCAACATGCCTGCCTGTCGTGGGGTGGTTGTGGATGGCGAGCGGCGCCGTCCCGTGTGGAACGCAGGCACGGAAGGCGCTTTCACCCGCCCAGCACCCGGTGCGAGCTCCAGCTCGGTCCTACGCCCCTCCGGGCTGCGGCATGAAGACGCCTCTCCGCAGTGACCCAGGTCGCCGCCAGGAGGCGCTGCAGGGAGAGTCCTCACTGGCCCCGCCCCCGGCTGCCCCAGCCCTGCGCGCTCGGGCCCGTCGGATCCCAGTTTCGGGACTGGCTCTTTCCCCTTTGGGACCACCGGCAGGTGGCGAGCTCAGCAAGTCTGCAGCGCAGACCTGCCCAGGCTGGATCTCAGGCGACCTGGAGTTCAGTCCCAGGTGGCGCCGTGTTTGTCTGGGGGTAGAAATCCCTGTCTCGCCTCGCCGCATTCTGCTGGTCGGGTCCACACCCCGCACCCACGTGTCACCCCGCACCCACGTGTGTGTTGCCCACACTTCCGAGGCCGGTCTGCGCCTCCCCTGCCTCCTCCCACCGTCTTCGCCTGCTGCTTCCCCACAGGAAGGACACCAGACGCCCGGCACCTCTGCTAAGCTGTGACGACAGAGGACCCAGGGACATCTCGAGCAGTACTCCAGCTGGAGCCCGCATTTAAAATCACGCGTGGCTCCCACTGTGCCAGCTTTTGGGGGTTGGAGAGAGGTCTTATGCACCCTGGGGCTAGTGGGATGCCAGGAGATGAGGGGCCATGTCCCCACCTCCCCTCCAGCCCCCAGCCTGTGCTTTGGTCTGAGCGTACCTGCGCACACAGCAGCGTCCTCAGGTCTGGCTCAGACTGGCCAAGGGCCGGGCCCAGGATGGGAGGGAAGGAACCCTGGACAGGGATCAGCTTCCTGTCCCAGAGCCAGGCTCCTCCTGCTCCAGGACAGAGCCACAGGACCTTGTCAATGGACATTTTGGAGGAACGACACCCCTGAAAGGACAGAAGGAGCTGCTTCCCATTCCAGCGTCCCACCTGGGTTCTATGGCCAGCTTGGTGGCTCCCAGGAAGGGACAGGGAGGCCACTTAGAAGCGGCTAGTCCCGTCTAGGCAGCCCAAGCTGGGAGAGTCCAGAACAGCGACATGGAGCAGTAAACACCACAGTCCTGGACGACACCACCCTTCAGTCTTCTAGCCCTGCCACCCTGCATGCCTAACACCCACACAGGCCCCCACCTGGCACCCTGGGTCCAGGACCATCCTCAGCCCCTGCCGTCCACTCCAAGGATGCCTACTGGCCACCAGCAAGTGCCTTTATTTCTGCTTCAATCTGCTGAGTGAGGAGGGTATGTGCTAGGCCTGTGCGGTGGCGGTATGTGGCAGGGGCCGAGGTCCTGGCCAGGCCTAGTGAGGTGGGAGGCTCTGCTGCCTGCTGTGCAGGCAGGCCCACCTCCACTGTGCCTGCAGCCCTGGCACTGAGGCTCTCCCAGCAATCAGCAGAGCCACGTCACATCCTCATCTGTCACTGGGCGGGGGGTGCCTGGTCTCTGGAGCCGGCACACTCACTGTCAGCCTCATCCGCTGGTGCTCCTGGCTGACTCGAGGAGAGGGCTGCCAAGATAAAAAAGTCTGGATGTTGTGGGGCTACAGCCATGGCGGGTACCAGAGGTCCAAGGTGAACCTGGGACAGGCACACAGGCAAGGGCACACACTCTGCCTCAGGGGAGATGGCCACCCAGCTCCAGGGAGGATGGGGACAGCTCTGGGAGTGGCTCCCCTCTTCTACAGAGAGAAGGGGCGGCAGAGTGAAGGTGGCCCAGGACACCAGGATCTCTCCAGAGCCCAAGACCCAGAGGTCACCTGAAGGGCCGTCCCCAGTGACAGCCTGGGCACTGGAAGGAGGCTGGCAGAGGATGACGGGGTTGGGGCAGAGACAGGGGCTGGGGACATGGGGTTAGGGAGACACTGCCTCAGGGCTAAGGCTGGGGACAGGGAGCAACAGCCAGACTGTGGGTGGGGCTGAATTCATTTCCTCCTCAAGGGGAGAACCCTCAGGGGCTTCAGGGCCAAGTTCAGCCCTTGCATTTCCTCCCGGGGGCCCCACCACCCACCTTCCTGTGCCTCAGACCTGGCTCTGTGACCCTCTTGCCCCACAGTCCTGTGAAGGCTCCAGTCTTTAAACGTGGCACCTGCTGCCAGGACAGGAGCAGCCACAGGGCCACCACGTCCTCCGTGCTGCAGTACCCTGGCCATCCAAGGCCTGGGGGCAGCGCACCAGTGCAGGTCCAAAGTCTCCAATGGAGGTCAGGGTGGAGAGGCGGGGACTAGCTGGCTGTGCCCTTCCTGGGGCCCCAGGCTGCAGGAAGGTGGAGGGGAGGCCAGGCCAGGCCCAGGCACCAGGGAGGCCTCGCTTCTCATCCAGATGACAATGCCCGTCTCAGCACCCCTGTGGGCAGCCCAGGACTCACCAGCAGCAGCCAGGCTCTGAGGGGGACCCTTCTGGATGCCCTCTGGGGGCCAGCGCAGCTCCCCACTTTCCACAGCTCCTGCCTCACTGGGCTCCACTACAATGGAGGGCAGCCGATGGGCCAGGCGAGGCCCCTTCTCCCGGGTACCAGCTGCAGCCTACAGGAGGGTGGGCAAGGTGAGGGCGATGTCAGGTCCCAGGTACTTGCCAGCTCAGATCCCCAGGACAGGGCTGAGTCTGGGGGCCTGCGGGGTCCTGGGGAGCCGGTTCATACCCCCCAGGCTCAGCCCCACAGGCCCCCACTGCAGACACCCTGAGACTGGAGAGAAGTCCTCAAGAGCTCCTCTCAGGGAGCGTGCACCCCAGCCACTGCCAGCACCCGAGCCCTCGAAGCCCCTCATTAGGGTCTTCCCTGCTGGGCTCTTGGCCCTCTCCCTCTGCTCAGAGGAGCCACTGGAAGGCGTTGCCACGGCAACCTGAGCTCTGGCACTCGATCATTGTTCAGTGCCCACACCAGCCCTCCGGGTGCCCTCAGTGTCTCCGCCTCCCATTCAAGGCCTCTGGAGGCAGAGGCTGTGGCAAGACCTCGGAACCCCACCATTTCTGGTGCCCCAGCTCCTGCCTGGACAGCTCCTTCCTGGAGCCACACCCCCATCTCTTGGGGCTATAATGGCAGCTGGGGCAGGTACACTTTCCCCCCCAGGCACAGGTGCCCCAAGGAAGGGCAGGTGCCCAGCAGGCAGTACACTGCCAAGCAGTCCTGACATTGCCTTGGCAGCTGACAGCAGACCTCAAAGCATGCTCCTGGCTCTGCCCAGAAGCCTCTTTAACCAGGTGCCACGGGGGACCCTGATGTGTGGAGCCATATGTGCCCCCAGGATGTGTTACCTGAGGACTGAAGAGCAGATTGGACGGCTCTGCCCCTGTGCCATTTCCAGACTGCACCCTGGACAGGGTTGGTGCCCAAGCCAGCAGGGCCTGCTGGGTGGCTGTGCCTGAGACCCAGATGCAAGCCCACTCCAGGCAGCTGTCTGGGCATGGACCCGCTGTTCCCAGCCCCGCTGGGGCTCAGCATCCCAGGGCTCCATTCCTTTGTGCCAGGACTCGGGTTTTGCTGTGTGGACACCTGCCCACACTTTCTCATGCCTCAGTCCCCGCAGGTTGGGGCTCTGGCCCTGCACAACCATACAGCCAGCAAAGTGTGCTCTGGGCTTGGGGAACAGCCCTGGTATCCCCAGGGCCAGAGTGGGTGCTGAGTGAGCAGGGCTGGCTTGCCTCTAATTGCTTTATTCACCAGACTTCTATAAAAGAGCAACTGGCCAGGCATGGTGGCACACGCCTATAATCCCAGCAGTCAAGAGGCTGAGGCAGGAGGATCACCACAAATTCCAGGCCAACCTGGGCTACCTGGTGAGATCCTCTCTCAATAAATAGGTAAATAAATAAATAAACAAACAAGCAACTGTATCCCAACTTGTGCCGGTAACCTGAGGGCAGCAGGGAGGACAGACATGCCCAAGGTCGTGGTCTGGCCGGAGCCTGGCTCCCTCCCGTCCCACACAGAGCACCCTGGCCACTCACCTTCCCTGCTGGGCTCCCGGTGCCCTTAGTCGGGCCTCCCTCGGATACCATGGACTGCGGGGTGCTCATGCTGCCGCCGCCACACTAAAACAGGGAAGGCTTGTGGATGCCTTGCCTGCCAGAGGCTTCAAGCTGCTCAGCCACACCCACCTTGGACTGCTGCAGGCCGGGCCAGGGCCTGTGGCTGTTCCCACCAGCCAGGAGCCAAGAGGCCCAGGCCTGAAACAGAGAGAGAGAGAGAGAAACGGAGACAGAGAAACAGACAGAGAAGCAAGGACAGACAGACAGAAACAGAGAGACTCACTGCACACCTCAGGGCCAGGCCCTCAAGACCCAGCTCACAGGCCCCAGACCTTCTCCTCTCTGCACTTGGCAATGCCCACCCACGCGGGCCACAGCCGCCATCTCCAGCCTCCAGGCCAAGCTCTGCTGTGTCCCTGGCCGGGCCTCAGACCCCACCTACACTGTGGTTCAGGCAGACACAGAGATGAGGTCTGGCAGGGGGGAGCACCAGGGAGGGCAGCAGTGCCAGTAGCACTGGGCTCTGGGAAGGGGTGCCATGAGCCCCCAGCAAGGGGAGGGCAAGCTGGGGTCGGCTCAGGTCCACGCAGCCCACAGCCTGGGGAAGGGGTGCGAGCAGCCACCCAGGTGTGCAGCCGGTCCCCGCAGGCCCTCCTCCCACTGCTCCGCTCAGCTCCCTCGAACTTCAGCCAGAGCCCAGGATGGCCTGGCTGGAGCGCAGAGAGAGGTCTGGGGACCCGTCAGACAGGGTGAGGGACTGCGGGCGGGAGCAGGCAAAGCGAGAGAGGTCAGCGGGAAGCGGCGGCGGAGCTGTCCAGTCGCAGCGCCCACGGCCATCTCCCCTCCCTTCCTCCCCCCTTCGCCTCCTCCCCCCCTCAGCCCCTCCTCCTCCGCCCACCCGCAGCCGCTGCAGGTGCGCAGGCCAGGTGTGCAGAGCCGGGCTGACCGCGGAGCCCACCCCGCGCCTTCGCCACGGAGCCCCGTACCTCACGCCCTCCCAGCCCGCGCCTGGCCGCCAGGGTCCGCGGGGCGCCCCGCACTCACAGTCACGCTCGCCAGGCTGGGTCTCCACGCTCGCTGGGCTGGGTCTCCTCGCTCCCCGCGCGCTCTCGCCTCCCGCGCTTTCCACCCACGCGCCTCGTTCACACTCACGCCCTCCGCCACGGGGTGGGGCGCCCCAAACCGTGGCCCAGGCGATGCCAGCTCCCCCACGCAGGGCCTCGGCCTCCCCAGCCTGACCCCGGCCCTTGCAGACTGGGCTCCCCAAAGTCAGCGCTCAGAGATCTGAGGCGCGGGATTAGGCGGGCCAGATCCGTAGGAAGAGGACACGACAGGTCCACCTGGGACAACAGAAGGGAGCAACAAAGAGGACACGGAAAGCACCAAACTGGGACGTGGCATCGCCCCTGAGCTCCTTCCCGTCTTCTTCCCCCAAAGTAGCCAAACAGCCCCGGCACATCCAGCCTCATCAGCTGGAGCCCAGGAGCCCCCCTGAGGTGAGGGCCACCATCTCCCACCCATGAATCCCTCAGCTGCCCAGCAACTGTCGGCCACCAAGGCTACTTAACACCTGGCTTCCAACATCTGTGTATCCTGCCACTGTCCTGCTGCCATCCCCTCCCGGTCATCTTCTGCCACCCAGTCACCCTTCAACCACCATGGGACAACAACCACCTGACACCCATCATCAGTGACCCAGTGTCCACCTACCGGCCACACTCTAACCCCACCCCCCGTCCAGCAATCCATCACCTTCCAGCCTGCACCATCCCCATCAGTGGGCACGCGCCAGCCACACCCCCAGTTTACCGGGCACCAGCACATGTGAAAATCCCCTCAAGCCAACATTCATTCACCGTTCGTGTATCTGCCACCCATGCAGAGGGTGGGTGACCGCTCTCCACCATGTTTGGCAACCATGCTGAGTGCTGTGGCACACTCGGGTAATCCCAGCTACTCAGAGAAGCTGAAGCGGGAGGATCCTAAATTTGAGGCCAGGCTCAAACTTAGCCAGATCTTGTCTCAAAAAAAAAAAAAAAAAAAAAAGAGAGAGAGAAAAGAAAAAACATAAAGAAGCTGGAGATTTAGCTCAGTGGAGGGCTGGGGATTTAGCTCAGCAGCATAAGCACCTGCCTTGCAAGCAGGCAGTCGTGAGTTCCATCCCCAGTACCGATTAAAAAAAAAAAACTGCAAAAAAAGAGATTTAGCTCAGTGGAATAAGTGCCTGCCTGGCAAGGGCAAGGTCATGAGTTCAATCCCTGGTACCAAGAAATAAAATAAAAAGAGGGTAGGGCTGTAGCTCAATGGTAGAGTGCCCCCAAGTTCCACATCCAGGGCTGAAAGAGACAACTATCTGCCCATCTACCACTCATCCTCACCTTCACTCCATTATCCGTCCACGATCCACCTGCCAGAGTTACCCACTAGCCTCCACCCGCAGGCGACGTCCATCTGTCCTTCACCACTGCTCCTCCATTCTTAGCTCTACCACTCCAATCCTTCCATTCATCCACCTACCACCCACTGTCTGTTATCTCCTATCCATTCAGTGTCCAGTTCATAAGACCCTCAGTCCATCTACATGTCCATTGTCTAGCCGCAATTCACTCTGCACCCTGAGTCTGTCCCAGTGTCACCTCCATCTATTGCTATCCATCCATTCTAAAAAATTAGATCCAGTGTTGTCTGTGTGCCCAGCAGTGCTCCAGCCGCTGAGGACAGGGCAGAGAGCCTTCATCCTCCGAGACCCATCCACCTACACGCACTCACCATGCAACACGCCCATCTAGTGCTGACTGTCCATTCACCGACTGCCCATTTGTACCGTGAGGCCATTTATTTATCATATTCCACTCACCTCCCTCCACCCACCCTCCATCTCTCCATCTCTACCCATTCACCTTCCCATGCAGCCAACTTTATGAATCTCCATCTCCCTATCCAGTGGCCAACTCCCTCCCCTCTGCACTTCCTGGCAATAATCCACACCCTCCTATCCATCCAGTTACAACTGTCCACTTATTTGTCATCTGTTCCCCACTCATGTACCACAAGCCACCATCCAGCTTCCACCTGACCCCACCTGTCCAGCTCTCACGATCAGTCCTACATCCATTAACACTTAGCCTCATCTGTCCACCCACCCTCTGGGGATAGATCGATCCACCATGATCACCCTCATACTGTTTATCCACCTCCCACCTAAACCGGCACGACTCACCCAGCAATGGCCTGCAGTTCATCTGCCACTCACAGTTCATTCAGAATCCATCCAGCCCGTCAGGTCAGCATCTGGACCGATCCATGCCTCCATCTGTCCACTTACCAGACGGTCGTACTATTAACCAGCTGCCATCGTGTGCCAGGCTGCCAGTTCCTCTGCAGCCACACCCCCGCGTCTATCTACTGGGCTCGCACTCGTTCCACCACTGCGTCCATCACCTGTCAACCCTAGTACCTCACCCATCTGTTTTCTTCTTGTACTTGCAAAACAGAAGCACCAATCAACTGCTTTCACTTCTGTGTCTCCATCACTCATTTCTATCACCATTCCTGGACCCAGGAATTCATAGCCTACACTTCCCTTTATTCCTAATCATTACTATTTGTGCCTGTGCCACGTGATCCTGGAGCATAGTCCTGGTGGCTCTGGATGATGCAGCGCAGGCAGCCACCTTCAGGAGAAGACCCACCGATGTGGGTGGTCCCAGCCCACAGGCCATGACCTGGACAGAACAAACGGGAAAGAGACGAATGTTCTGCTGGGGCCGAGCTGGAGTCTCCCGGGTCACCGTGAGCACCGGCTTCCCCTTTAGCTTCTAACTTGGACCTGGACTGGTGCTGCATCCTTCGATCCCTCACTTTTCTGACTTCCTCCTCTGAGGCTGAGCAGCTGCTGGACCCGGAGCTCTCGAACCCGTGGGCCTAAGAGCCAGTGGGGTTACACATCTCCACTGACCGGTCCACTAGGGAGCCCAGCAGGGTATCTAGTAAACAGTATACACTCACCATTTGGTGTCTGTGCTGGATGCCGGAGGCATTAAAGAGTAAGCAGACTAAAAGGACCAAACAGCCAGGTATGGTGGTGCACACTGTAAGCTCAGGCACTCTGGAGGCTGAAGCAGGCAGATTGCAAGTTTGCCCAGCCTGGGTAATTTGGGAAGAATTTATCTCAAAATCAAAAAGGGGTTGGGGACATGGCTCAGTGTGAAGACCCTAGATTCACACACCACCACCACCCTGCAGTATGGAGAGGAAGGGCAGTGTAAAAAGTGTACACCGCATGGAGATGTCCATGCTCTGTCTCTGGACATGGCTGAGCCAGGCTCTCCACATGTCAAGGCAGGAGGGGGAGAGCACCTTACGGGTCAGGAGAGTCAGAGGGCCAGGGGGGAGAAGGGGAGCGAGACTGGAAAGGGGGTGGCACAAAGTATGCAATGTGGCAATGCGGTGTGGGGCAGGGAGGGGCCAAGGCTAACTGAGGGTCCTTGCTGAGGCCAGCAGGCACCCATTCTCCACAGATGAGCACCCAGTTAGCTAAGTTCCTCGGAAGGAGCCCTAGACGCTCACCTCTACCTCTCAAGGACGGGGCTCGGCCCAGGGTCACAGTGTGCCCAGTAGGTCAGATCCAGGCCACTGGGCTCCGGGGATACAGGCCGCCTCTTGCCCTAGCCCAGGCCCTGGTGTCAAACTCCACCCATCGCTTTCCACCCAGCCCCCAGACACTTGGCCTTCTTCCTTCTTCCTTCTTCCTGAGTGTGGTGGGTGTCAGCTGTCACCTAAGGTGTTGGTGTCACCTAGGTGTCAGCTGAGGGGAGGTGCAGATGACAGAGCTCACACAAGTGCCCAGGGGCCTTTGCTGCCCCGGGGCACCCAGACTGGGTTCAGCCTGCAGAGCCGCCTGGAGCCCACCCTGCTCCTGTCTGGGATCCTGGTCTTCCTCTGTCCTGCCCCACCGTGGCGACCCCACAAGAGAGTGACAGCGGCGGAGCCCACGGAGTGGGGCGCATCGCGGCGGGGCTGTGTGTCCTCAGGACAGTGCACTGCAAAGAGGGTAAGGGCCACTCAGGCCATGCTGAGTCTGCGGCTGCCTCGAGCCCCCCACTGACCGCGCCCCCCTCTGACCGCGCCCCCGCTGACCGCCCCCCCCCCACCACGCGAGCGTGGCGCGCAGCCCGCCGTGCTCTGTCGCCCTCTGGTGGCCACAGCTGGTAGCACGACCGGACTCCCGGCCCGCGGGGACCACAGGCGGGGACTTTTAGTGTCCCAGCTGGACAAAGCTTCTGGACCTCAATAATCAGATTTCGGAGATTAGAAAATACCCTAGTGAAGGAGCGCTGCATCCCCGGGGCCGCGTCCTCTCTGCGCCACCTCGCGGCCGGCCACGCGCGCCAGGCGCAGCCCGGGGAGGCCACAGACGCAGCCCCTGTGCAGCCTGCGCCTTCGCCCCGCGTCTCCTCCCGAGGCCCCCCGTCCGCGCCCCGACGCCAGGGCAGAGCAACCGGGTGGACGGTGCTGTCCCACCCCGCGCGGCCCTCTGGTACAGCCAGGGAGACTGATGCTCAAGGAGGGGAAGTCGGACAGACTTGTGGCCGAGCGCTACCGTCTCAGTGAGACAGGCGGGGAAGTTGAGGCCGGGGGCATCCCTCCACCTCCGGCAGAGCGAAGGGTGACAGGATCTCCGATTAGTGGGTCCCGGGCTGCAGCCAGATGGCCCGGAGGACAGCACAGGGGGACAGGCGACCAGAGAAGATGGAGGTTGAACCCAAGGACAAAGCTCGGTGGGAAGGGCGACTGACAGGGTAGCAGGGGAGGCGTGGGAGGTGACCAGAGC